GATCGTGGCTACTCGCTCTCGCTGTTGTATCCATGGAGTTTAACGGTACTCTTCCTTAAACTCTGACTCTAGATTGATTTTACAATTGTATCTTAATCTCTGTTATGACTGCGATTTAATAATCATACAGTTGGTATCGGAATCATAGTTATTATTGTGGATTTTGCATTTGATGACAACGAATTTTGAGCCGGAAAATCGAGAGAACGAGCAGCTGAGATTATCCATGGAGAGTTCAAGAGTAAAGCAAAGAAGAAAAGGAGAAGAAGAGTTTGTGATTTGGTGCAGATGGTTAATTTTTCCATGATAGAAGTTGAATAATTAACCAAGAAAGAAAAATAAATCACTGTCAAATAACCCTAGGTGATCAATATTGGTGAAGAAAGTGAATTGCAAGGTGAAAATTAATGTTGGTGGAGAAAGACCCAAATTTATAGAACACGAAAATCGAGATGTTTATTGCTATCTGTTTGACTTTATGTGATATAATTAGTACTATTTGGAGAGTGAAAGAGATTTTTCTTTGACTATGTTTTTTGCAAATATTTTGAATTGCTGACTGTTGTGACTTATAGTATTGTTTACTTAGTTTCTTAAGAATATATAAATTTTATTTTAAAATTTTTGAAGATTTTATGCCCGAATTCAATAACAATAACATACATAGTATATTCTTACAGTGTAGGATCTGGGGAGGATAGTATATATATATAGACGTTATTCCTATCTTGTGAAGGTAGAGAGACTGTTTCCTGTAGACTTTCAGCTTAAGAAAATTAATCCATGTCCGAATTCATATTGAAAACTAGTCAACTTGACCTTAGTACTCTAAACTACGTCACATAAAATGAAACGAACGAGTATAAGAAGAACTATGTAACTTCTCAAACAATTAAAGGAGTTGCAAAGCTTTCTATTTAAGGAGAGATACATGTGAATATGGGAATTCATGTTGAAATACTGCTTTCCTTTTAGTTTTTCATGTTTTCCTCTCTTGTACTCTAATTTACTAAAAAAGCGACTTTCGTGAATGGACAAAAATATATAAATTAAGGTCATTTTTTTCTTCTTGAGGAAGCGGAGATACTTTGGAGCAATGATAAAATTATCCCGATGACCTACAAGTTACGGATTCGAGCCATAGAAGTAGTCATTGATATTTGCATCAGGATAGTTAGGTCGTCTACATCACATCCTTGAGGTGTGACACTTCCCTCTCCCTCCCTCCCTCCCCCCTTCTTAGGACCCCGTATGAATGCGAGGTGCTTTGTGCACCTAACTGTTTTTTTTAAGGTCATTTTTTTCATAAACATGAGACTAGACTTGGGCTTCGACGTAGAGTCATATGAATAGTGCGCAAACGAGCTTATTATAATATTGAGTTCAATTGTCATGGATCGTGTACAACCGAATTGAATTAATCGTGACCCTAATACTAATATCGGATACCGAACATCGAGAAAAAATTGTATGAGCTGGATTAGAGTCTGAAATATTGATATACGCATAACAACGTGTAGTTCGAGATGATCACGAAATCATTTATTGTACAAGTTGATAATAAAAAATATTAATACATTTCCATTGAGGATTTTTTTTTTACTTTTGGTTATATTTATATCAATTATACCAAATTTAAAGAAAGTCAGACTTGGGAATTGACTTTTAAGAATAAAACGTATATCTGTTTTGAGTTACCAACCTTGAAATGCACTGTCATTTAGTCGCGGTTGTTTGTACATAATTTTAGGTTATAGTCTACTTCTGTTAGTATTTGATATTATAATAATCCACTTTATTAAATAAGTATTTATCCACTTACGTATCTTTTAAAGTATAAAATCTATGTAAATTTGGTATATGAAAATGGTATAACATGAGTTGGGAGTGGGACCATGCCTAAAGGAAAAACAAAGAAAGAGAGACTCAAACATAGACAACGCCCTTAGGGCTCGTTTGGTACGAGGATAACAGATATTTAATTCCGGAAATAAATTTGAGATAAGCATTTGGTACGAGGGATAAGGGATAATTAATCCCGGGATTCAATTTGAAATGAGTTTATTTCATGTTTGGTTGGGATAAAATCATGGTACTGTCAAACCTCTCTAAAACAGCCTCATTTGTTCCAACTTTTTTTTGGTTGTTATAGCAAAGTGTTGTTATAGAGAACGTATATTATAACATATCATGAAAATTAGTTCCAAAAGAAACTTAGCTTTTATAGTGAATGATTGTTATATTACGATGTTATTAAAAAAACTTAGTTATCCCGGAATTATAATATTTTTTTTATCTCTATGGGAGGGTGGATAACTAATCCGGAATAATTAATTATGAGATGGATTAATTCCCAACCAAACGACCCAATAGTTTGTCAAAATGTTTTTTTAGATACATTAACTGAGGCCATGACCTACCACCATAAGTTTTTCTATAAATGCTCATTAGAGGTGGAGTCATGATTTAAAATTTATGGGTTCGAAATTCTAGTTTTTTAAGTTATTGGGTTCTAATTAAATAATTTGTATATAATTTAATAAATTTATTAAGACAAATATAGAATTTGGACTAAGTTACTAAGTTCAGCAGAATTCGCAACTGAAAAGCTAGCTCCGCCCCTGATGCTCATCATAAGTTTTTTTATTCCCTCTGATCAGAAGCAGCTAAGTTGTTTGAGGAACTGTTTACGTTTTACATGGGTTAGCATTCTCCTCATGCATCATCTAATGGAACTTTTTAACTTTACATACCAAAATAGTTTATTTTTTATTGTGTATTTATGTACTTGATATAGGAATATCATATCTGCATTTGAGAAAATGCATAAATATTTCCTGACCTATAGCCGAATTTCCAACTAAGCACTTATCCCCTCGAACTATTTTAAAGTGGAACAAATATTTCCTTGAGAGATGATGCAATGCAGAAAGTGTGTTCACTTTCTTGGAGGCGTATGAGAGCATAAAACTGCCTTAAAAATTTACTAATGTCTTCATGTGTTATTTTATAATTGGATACTTTAACTTTAGTTATATTTTATAATTCATATTATAATTTATAATTAAAGGTTATATAATTAATTAATAATTATCATTATAACTTAAAACAATATTCCTTTAATTTATTTCTATTTGTTGTGAAATCCAGCCCTTTTCTTTAATTGGTCATGTTGCTCGGAGATTATCAAAGTCCATTAAAGCTTGCTGCAAGTTTGCCGAAGGTCTGCGTACCATTGGTTCTCTCGATTGGGACGGTAAAATTACAAGAATTTTGAAATTAGGGGATTTCTTGAGGAGTGGAACAACTTGTACGATTTACCAAACCCAATTCCCAAAATTATATTTTGTGTCAATCTTCATCTTTAATTCACCATTTTCACCTTTTCTCCAAACCCAATTTTTCAAAATTATCCCACTTTCATTTTTACACTTACATCCCCTTTTCCAGCAACAACAAAGACCCAACAACATCCCTTTTTGACAACTCCGAGCCTTGAGAGTATCAAAACCATTAGCGACGGTTTTCTCTCCAGCGACGACAACGATTCTATTTTTTATTTTTATACTATCCTCTGAGAAGATTGAAAAAAATAAAATAAAAAAATAATTTTAGTGGTATAAAGCATTGATGGGCGTGTACTCCACCACATAACATAGATATACTTGTGACATTTTAAGGGTACATTTATTTCATTTTGAAATAGTTCAGGGGTAATAGGCCCCTCGCAAAGTTTAAGTGTGTCGTTGAAAACCCGACTATAGGTCAGTAAAAAACCAATTTTCACCCATCATAGCAAGTCTCTGAGTCTTCGAAAATTCGGCAAAATTTCCCCTAAAACTAAGCATCATTTTTATACCTGTCTCATATCATCCAAATTACAGCACTTAATAATCCCAAGAGTCACCGTCATTCATTTCACACGGAATAAGCAAGATGGTAGACTAGCAAAATATATATATAACTGTGTTAATACTTTTTTTTTTCCTGAAGACTAACACAGTCTATCGCATTACATAACTACAACCACCTATATGGTTCATGGATAAATACAACAAAGAGTTTTCAATAAGTGTCAAACTGAAACATAACAATAGAGAAAAAAGAAGTGGAACCAGCATTACTCATTGAAGGAAACCTGCGGCTCATCACTAAAGTACCCTGGCTCAAGTCTGCGGATCGGAATCAACACTTGCATCTGTAGACATAAAAGTAAGGAATGAGTTCCTTGACTCAAACAAGTGACAACTAATTCATAATGGAATAGGGGTTTCGGAAAACGCCATAATATGCAACTTCCAAGAATAGCCAGTCCAAAGACTGAAATCAGGTCAAAATAACTAAGATTTATAGGATATGTTTATGCAACTTCCAAGAATAGCCAATCAAGAATCTGTAATCTCAGATCTAGAAGGACCAACAGGAAAAAAAGATACTATCATGCAAAAACACTTTCATATAGGACCTTTATAAGTTACATAAATAAATCAGCTATCACATTATTCGAAGATAATTGTTTTACTCAAAAGTTACTTGAGATGACCGACTGAATAGAACCTGATAAGAAATGAACCTTGGGCCAATAAAAGCTAGCTCATGAAGTGAGTGCCTAAAATTATATAAAAAGACCAAATCACCCATCCATAACCAATGTGGGAATTCTGACACCCCCGGCACCCTAGGTCTGCCAACTGGAGTGTAGACAACATAATATAGGAGCTCAACATCGTGTAAACCAAGAACTGGAATGAGTCTCGCTCTTGATACCATGATAAACCAGAAAGATAGCTCGTGAGGGTTACCCAAAACCATATAGAGACTAAATCACCCATCCACAACTGATATGTGAATTACGACAGAATATCTAAAAAGCTTCAAGATTGAAATCAACAAATCATCGTAACCAGACCATATCATCCATTTTGATATGGAAGCTCTCTACTTGAAGAAGATGTACAGTACAATTTTCAAATTTTTCTNGGGGTTTAATAAAAAGCACCTTTAAACATTTGAAAGAAATGACTGATGATATGAAAACATTTGCTGTACAAATTTTGAGGTGATACTAGTACCCCCATTTGAGAATTGTCTGTTCTAAATACATATTTACACAAGTTTATGTCACTAGGTCATACTTGAATAGATCATTTTTCTTTCATATCGTCATCCAATGCAGTTTTCTTGCAGATCGGACACGAGTTCTTCATCGACAACCATCTTCTTATGCACCCGACATGAAAATCATGGCTGCATGATTTCAAGCTCCCAACATCATCCATGTTCACATACTCTTCCTGTCAAATACAGTGTGACATACAAAATCTACTTGTTAGAATTCTATTGTTTTACTCACATGAAAAGCAATTGCTGTATTCCTCCAACTAATAGACTGGTAAAACTGTTCAATGCACTATCTGATCTCAACAGTAAGGAAGAAGGCATTCGAAAGGCCGACCACTACATAAGCCGCTTGCTGACCTTCATTCATTAGTAAACCAAGGTCCCGGGTCTCCCAGTCAGACCGCGCTTTTTCAAAGAGTAAACTTGCATAGCGTCATAATGATGAAAGGACTGAAGTTCTGAGTGACTGTAAATTGTTTTTACACTGCTGGTGTAGTTTAACCTTAACCTATGATAGCATGTTAATTACTAGTTTTACCAGGTTACCAAGTACTGGTTATACACAAATTTACGCGCAATTCTTGTATAAATGACCTAATTGTTTAAATATTTTTTACACAGTGCATTAAACTTAACTCATGATGAGAACACCTAGGAAGCATTTTATTCTCGATGCGTGAACTCATAATCTCTAATGGTACTAATGTATGATGTACATTCCCAACAAGATGATAGTACTCACCAAACAGATAACACAAGTTCCCTCCTCATGAATTTGATCAGAGGAACAATAAATTGACTCGGTCATGCACTTTGAAATCAGCTCCTCCGACAAGCCAGTATTGACGTGACCAATTCTCTCTCCCAGTGCAAGAAGTTCCTGCTCAAGTCAAATATCGAAGTTCAGTAGATGGCTGCATGTTGAAAACAGAAAGCAAGATAAAGGTGCTAGTAGAGTCTCAGCATTACCTCATAGCCCATGTTGTCAATGTCAAGTCTCATGTCCCTATGCTGATCAAACAAGCTTCTGGATCCGTAGAAAGTAGAGCGATCTGGAACAATAACACCCTGAAAGAACCGACAGATTCACATTCAACATGCCTTGAAGAAGGTGATATGTTAAGAGATCATAGAAATGATTAGCTACAATATCATATTAAAGCCAAGTTACCATCTGCAGCTATTTGAATTTCCCATGATGCCAGATTGGAATAAACAAGTGCCAATACAAAAAGGCAAATAAATCCACTAAATTATAAGTTTTGAAAATTAAGGAGCTCTGACTGAATCACATCAAGACTGACTGGGATATAAGAAGGATCACAAGTCAAACAGACAGCAGAAACAGCTTAAAAAATGACACAACCTACATATCATAAATCTGGGCGCATACATATTCCCAGTTAATCTTTTCAAAGTGAAGCACATAATTCCCTGCATTAGCTAGTTAAACAAATGTACAAAATACACCTGGTAGCATTTATGACTTACCTAAAAAGGTTTTACACCAGTCTTGTAGCATGAAGCGGAAAGGTCATTTATTTATAAAAGAAAAAGAAAAAGAAAGACGGGGACATTCTTGTGGCATGAAGCAATACAACTAGATGCATGTCCTGATGACAAAAAAACAGTGTGTATTTATATAGGGAGTCTACACAGGAGCTGAGCCCCTCAAAAGGACGACATGACAATTTTTTGTATAAGATGAGTATACACACCTCAGATGCAAGTTGCTCACGGAAACCTGCCTCACCAGCCAATGATCTGTACCTATCACTAGATATCCTAGTTCTCCCATTTCGGTCACTACTGCGTGGTCCTAGAGTAGACAATGGACGTGAATGTCTTGAGGAGTAGCCTTCAGCAAACAACTGTGATGCGTCATCTGAAGAACCAACATGCCCATGGCGCAAATAGCTTGACGAAGTCCTGAAAGAAGGGGAAGATCTTTGACTGTAGCTACTTCGGACTCCCCTCGAAGATTGCAAGTTGCCAGGCAAATGTTGAGGAAGGGAACTTCTGTTTGGGGTGAAATCATTGTGGTAACTCCCCATCTCCAGCGAGGTAGATATATTTCCAGTTACCATATCGTAGTGGTTCATATCATAACAATAGAAGCCTGTATCTTCAGCTTGCAAAACATTACTAATTAAATCAGTACATAGTAAAGGATAAAAAAATAATTTAAGAAACTAACCAGAAGCGAAATTCCTCCCATGAGTGGCAGCAGGGGGCATGACTGCATGGTTCCATTCCCTTGTTGAAGAATTAGAACTTGGAGCCAGATAGTTCACTGAACTACAATAATCAGTGGTTGTTCTACTGCTGTTAGAGTGATGTGAAGGATTACTTGTTATATGCGCCCTTCCCACATTACTTTGCAGATCAAATGCAGATCTGCTTCTTACATTCCTCTGAGAACCTTCACCTCCAATAGACAGATTATTACCTCTGTAACTAGGATGTAAACCCCAAGACGTGTAATGAGAGTCTGGATTTTGTTTCTCATGCCAAGAGTCAGAAGGGATATCAGATGAACTGCCAGCATCGAAGTATCTGCTCGTACTACCACTTTCGCCACCTGCAGGTATACCAGGACTCTTACGTTTATATGGCCCTCTCCCGCTGCCCATTGTGAGGTCAACGAGGCCACCATCTACCCCATGATACGTCTGACCTCCATGGGTTGATGAAGATGCTTGATGTGGATAACTCTCATGGATCATATGAAAACCTCCAGTACCTGAATGCAGAAAAGGATCATGAAGAGGACCTTGAACCTGTGGCTGACAGTGTGGAATTTCCATATTTTGATTCGAGGAAGAATATCCACTTGGCCTGGAGGCATGACTCCCCAGAGCAGAATGGTGTGTCCCGTCGATTGACATATTGTCCACTGGATAAACAAGATTACTGCTTTCAGGAGCACCAGCCCGTGCTGCAATAAAGGAGACATTAACATGAGAAGGTTCTTTACTGTTTATTTACGTCCCCCCTATTTCAGAACATATAAATGGTCAACAAAGTATACGTCCTATTTTATACAGCCAGAAGGCAATATTTTGGTCACTACTCTTCAGCACTTCCACAAGAGTATTCTGTCAAATTGCTAATTTCCATGTTTAGCCAAGGCTAGTTCCACTAATTAAAAGCTAAAAGTTGCTGTTCTGAATCCAACAGTTTAGTTCAAGCCCATCCACTGGTACTATATGTAGGTAGATTTTACATGGACCATTTTCCCTGCAGGAGAAAATCCACCATGAAGCACCAGAAGGGCAGATCATTTTGCCACGTGTATTCTCCATCTTTTACAATATAGAAGTATTCAATGATTTATAATATGATCATAGGATCATCTCGACAATATAACGAGTTTTACTAGCACCACATGTCAATAACCAGAAGGAAGGGCAAGAATGACAAGGAACAAAATCATGGTATGCTTAGAAAAGGAGGGCTAATGGCATGTTATGAACCTGCAGCTCCTAGGCATGTGATAGATTTAGTAATAGACTAATTTCAGATAAAACCTAATAAAACTTTATTTTAAAAGTGAAAATCAGTACACCTAAAAGGAATATCTATTGTTACCGAAAGACAAAGGTGGCTGCTCTGGAAGATTCCATCTCTGATCATCTTCTGTCTCAAATATCTGAGACATGTTGAATAAATTTCTGTGCCCCATTGTACGTGAATGGCGGCAATAAATTTATATCTTAGTGAAAAAAAACCTGCATTCAAATAACAGAAGTCACTTCATAGAAAACATGATGAAAATTATTTTACTTTTGGTTTCACCTTGTCATTTTGTTTCTTTATACAGAAAGGAGATATAAAAAGTTACCCACAATTTTGACCGTTCATCTATAAACCACAAAATGACACATCAAAGATCCACATCGACCAAGCATGACTGAAAAAACTCAGCTGAAGCTAATTTTAAAAGTACCTTAGACAAGCATCTTTATGATATTCTATAACTTTCTCACTCTCTCTTTCCCTTTCCCTTTAGCACGCAAAACGTATTGGAAAAACATTGTCAATCTTACTGTATCTTCAGAACCCCGACATGAATTCTAAACAATTTCTCATCAAACAAATTTCAGACTTTTGAATTCCACAAACTACTCAAACACATCTTGGTACAGCTACTAACTAATAACAGATACAAGCCAACATAGACGAAAGATCTAATCAAAAGTAATTTTAAGGAAAAACAGGGATTAAGCTTGGATTTCACAACAGAACAGAAAAGCTCGAATTAAAATTGTCAAGCCTCTGACATAAAGTAATCAAGATCAGACAGCTAGATGGGGTAAAATTCTTGCACTGAAACTTACTTATCAGCATGCAGAATTAAGTCAAAACACAACTAACTCGTAATATTAATGGCTAAAAGACATAAGCTCTTGATTTGGCCAATCTGACACAGTTGACGGTTGCTATATGCTAAAACCGTGTTTTCCTTTTGATAGTTTATATTAAAAGTAAGAGAATTAACGTTGTTATATGTTGAATACATCCGGTTAATGGCATGAAATATTATTTTGTGGTTCTGTAATCCAAAGAACTAGGATATATTCTTCAGCCAAGATATTTTCTTATTTCATGTATTCCAAAATTTCCTCATCTCATTTTAGCCCAAACTCCAATATCAAGAGTCTAATATGTTTTTCACTGCTAATTCAAAGAAGGCTCTCTTCATTACTTGTCTCCTTTTACACGGTAAGCCTCTAAAAACTTGATCGACAGATAAGTAACTTCCTGCGTACATGCAGATGGCTTTTTGCAAATTGTCCACTCAAAATTTTCCCTTCTTTTTACAAGTTACTATTTTGGTCTCTATGACCAGATCCTTTCCGGTGGCACCATCTCTTCTGACCACTATTCTAGAAGAATTTCGAGCAAAATATTCTCCAAAGTTTTTTCTCATCTTTTTATTTATAGTTTCTCTATTTATTAAATTAAAAATTTTAACTAATAACCACTACCAAGGGAGTACTATAGAAAAAACAAAAGGAGAGTTTTCAAAACTGCTAAAAATTCAGGGAATCTAGTATATCCGTAATAGTTGACATGCTATTTCGGAAGTCTTTTCTTCTTTAGCCGAGGGTCTATCGGAAACAGCCTTCGGAGTAGGGGTAAAGTCTGCGTACACACTACCCTCCCCAGACCCCACTTGTGGGATTCCACTGGGTTGTTGTTGTTGTTGTTGTTGCTATTTCGGAATTCTCACTGAACCACATAATTATATTTTTTATACATCTGTCTCTTACTTTGCCTGTTTTCTATCTCTGCAGCAGTTCAACAACTGCTTCAGATTCTGTGGCATAACCCAAAAAACACCAAAGATGTATAGAAACACAGCATATCTGAAACATTTGGTAGCAGTGAAGAAACATGTGACTGATTCAGAGGATTGTTCACATAGAAAACATGTGCTGCGTAGAGTAAATCCTCCATAATATGAAGCTTATCTAATGTTAAACAAGCATCATGTTTTTACTACCATCCAAAACATGCTATTTTTTTTCTTCATGATATTGAAATTAGAACTCCTTAGAACATTGTTCCAGCAACTTTTTATATTACTCTTTGGTTGCCAATTCATGTTAAAATAACAATGATTACTGGATCTCGACGCTGAGATCATCTATCCCCATAACCTTCCCAAATTGTCTTGGAGATCCTCAATAAGCCACAGGAAAGGCAAAACAATAAATGGAGTGTGTCTGAATGGTTTTACGATAAAAGCTACCAGTAAAGTAGAGAATAAAATATCAGATCTACCATAAACTTAATGATACTAATTTTCTACGAGTCTCAATGGAGACAAATCTGCTCACTGTTCTAGATATTGACATTTGTAGCAGTGTATTGGCTCAAAATCAGTACGATGAAATTAGAGTTAAAATACCTTTTGGGAGGTGCACAACAACCATGATCTAACTACAACTTAGGAGTGGCTGCAAGTGAGTTCCCTACAAGAAACCTAGCTCTTTCCCTAGGAGGCAAATTCAACAATGGAGACCGTTGCTACTATTAGCAAAAAGTTCGAGAGAATATGCATGAAGTAGGGGAAAAAAGTGCATGTCAAAAGAGGGAGAATTACTTTGAAAAAGAAACTCTAACGAGCATTTTCATTATCAAGCATTGGTGGCTAAAAAACTTGAAAACCTTTTGAGGGCAAATGAATGAGATAGGAAATTTCACCTGGTGAGTTGGGAGAGATAGAGCCCCGATAGGATCAGAAGAGCCTCGGTAGGAATCATAGTTTTGGCATTTGGAGAATAACTATGTTCAACTGAGCCCTCTTGGGATGGTTATGGAAAGCTAGAAAAAGAAGAGAATGCTCGATGGAGTGACCTGATCAACGGAAAGTATATGAATTTCTAGAAATAGATTCATTGTTACACAACATAGATTCCCTGTAACTTGTAAGAACTAAGAGAACACTTTTGCTCTTTTTGTAAAAATGGGGCTTAGCACTGTCTTTGTGCTAATGATATATAACATTGTTACCTTTCTCAAGAAGAAAAACTATAACCACATATTTTGGATGGTTATGGAAAGTGGCAACTCCCTCTTATAAAACAAGCTTAATGGAAAAGATTATGAAGAGAAAGGATTTCATGAGGTTCATAGGAATCTCTTTTAGGAACTGTATTCAATGTTGGCTTGGTCATACCGCTCTAACAGCTGAATTTTCTCGTCTCTTTTGAATCACAACTGCAAAGGACACCGTAGTTGCAGAGATTCATAATAAGGAACGAGACTGGCAACCTAAAAAAAAAAAAAATTGACAAATATATAACACTGAAAATTGACAATGTGGAAAGATTTCCTCACAGGTATATAAGCTTTACAGAGTTACGGCAATAAGAAGGCATGGAAGATGACCTTCTCAAATGATTCTCCAAGTAGGAATGGCAATGGGGCGGTTCGGGGGCGGGGCGGGTTTAAACCTATGCGGGTTGCGGGTTTGTGGATAAAGCTGTTGCGGTTTAGTGGATTAAGCTACTGCAGATTGCGGGTTTGTGATGAAATACAAAGTGTGATACCGGTGGTTCATCTTAATGCTTTTAAATTTGAGGATCGGCTTGCGCATGACTTTAATATAATTTTTTTTTCAGATAGATAAAGTTTAATATACCAAGCAAATTTTGGATTAAAATAACAGAATTACAACCAGAAGAATCAATTACTAAATTTCAACTTCTCCCTTATTCACTCAATTATTCATTCCTTTTGGCACTATTCATTTGTAAAATTTAAAGTAACTGCTACTTGAATTTTCTTAAATTCATACCATTAATACCAGATTTCTTTTCTCTTTTAATTGGGGAATGGTAGGGGTACTTTTCATTTTACTTCTACTGGGTCTTTAATTTTTTCTAATTTAATATCAAGAGTTTGGAGTTTAGATAGTTTGAATTTTTCTTTTTTTCAAAGATAGCTTGAAAATGAATGAACAATATTCAAGAACACACAGTAATTGATATTAGATGCTATGTACCAACAAAAAGCACATAAATTCAAATTAAGTTTCTATTTACATTTAAACCTATGAATATGCGNCGGTTTGAAAATATTGAAAAATACTATGCGGGGTGGGTTGAGCCAAACCCGCCCCGCAACCGCCCCATTTCCATCCCTATCTCCAAGAAGTCTTACCATAACCTCCTGTTTGAGGGGTGGTGATGTAAAGACCATTTGGACGTCAATATGGAAATTGGAAGAGTAGAAATTTATTTGACCTATAAAAAGGAATAAAACTCTAATGACAGTAACTTCTTAGAACCCAACAGAAGCTCATAAGAGAGAAAAGTTTGTCATAATATATCTAACTTCATCCTCAATTTTCCTCTAAAGACAGGAGAGATGGGACTGATATGTTTATCTCCTTTGTTTCTTTTAGTAAGTTAAGACCATTATATGTGGAAAATTACAGCTAGTTTTCTTTTTACGTAGAAATATACGCCCTAGAATCCCTCCCCTAGCTGAAGAATATCCTTTACCTGACTAACATAACTCCTCCAACTAAGTCTTAGGAGAAATTGATTTTTGTTTTTGATAAATAGGAGAACTAATTTATTTTTAATTACTTGCAATGGAGAAAATGTATTGTTGTAAAGGCAAAAACAACACCATTGAATTCTATAGGATTATCCATGATGCGAATAGCTTCTAAGCTCATTAAAACTTTATGCTACTATCATTCATGGACAGTAAATAAGTTGTCTGAATATATGAGACTAGAGAACAATAAGCAAGCTAATGGTAGTAATGATACTCCTATGCACATAATCATATTACCCAAATTTGATGCAGTTATGACAATTTCCTTCACAAAGTTAACTCAGTAAGAATGAGAAAAGGGAAAGAGCAAGATCTGTCCTGGGGATGGATGTCTATGATCATTCCTATTGAACTACTCAAAATTGAATACGAAACAAGCACACAAGCTAAACCACTTGATTACTCCTGTTTCAACTAGATGATAGAAAAACTAAAGACAGCTCATTGTTTATGAAGTGACTGAAGGCAGCTAATTTATAAATCTAAAAGGAGAAACATATCACCACAAGTACCTTTGACGAGCCATACCACCAAATAGACAAGGCCAATTTGGTTCCCCTCATCCCATGGCAGTCTCACTGAAATATGTTCCATTAGGAAGAAGCCACTACAATTTTTGAATCCATCAATCTTTCTGTTAATGACTGTTTCAAGGTGCAGAACTCAAACAAATGCAGGACCAAGAGCAAGGGGTGGAGGAGGAGCCTGAGAGTTTCTATGGAAGCACTTATTAATGTTTGTATGAGTTATACCAGTGGTAAAAGAACATAAGAGTGTATTTACAAAGAAGCAATTGTTAATGTTTGTATGAGAAGGAGCAAGAGATTGACTAGTCAGAAAGACAGAAACTTAATGGACAATGAGTGTACAAGACAAGCAAAGGAATAATCTTGTCAGAGAGAAAGGAAAAAATTTTGTTAACAGTACCGGAGGTGCTTTGTGCTTGAATGAGTTTAAAATGAAGTATTGCCTAGTACAAAATGGAGAGTAGAAGCAAAAACTGTGAAATGGCTGTTAAAAGCGTTCCATGATTGCATCTACTTGCAATGTAAAATATAAGAGCCACCACCTCAGAAGATTGTGGGTAGTACCAAAAGATGAATATTGCAGGGCATCAACAAGCCCCAAGGAACAATAGGAGAAATCCTTGAAGCTGCAGAAGCAACAGCAGTTGGAGATTTTTTTACATCAATAGGAGTTCAGCCATAAGACAGAGGCTAACTGGTACTACACGTGTTTTCTGATTCATCTCAACCAACTATGGTAGCTGTCCTCCAATATTGGGTAGACCAAGCAACATTACGATTAAGTGCTCTATATAATTGCAGCACACTTAGCAATATACTAGCATCAATGGCTACATCTTAGTGGGCCACTAAGAAAATGTACCATCCATTGCAACCCCAGTTGTGTATTGTGATGCCACTCAAAGAATCTGTTAATCAGGATTGCTCTCACTTTATTTCGTTCTAAGCCACAAATAGAGTAAGATTACAACCTAAGACTTCAAAGGAGCACAAGTTCACTAGGTCAACAGGCTCAACTAAATGAATTACCAGCATACAAATGAATCAGGATAATGTGATCAGCTGTCAGTGAGAAAAGAGAGAGAACATCGTGTCTAGCGAGCACTAAGTATCTGCTCAGTGCCTCTACTCTGAGCCTTAAGAGGAAATGAGGAATGTAGTAATAAAGTTGCAAACCGTCCAATTAGCACACATTCTATTGTGCCCCATTTAGTGTTATTCGCCTGCAAACAATCCAAGTGTGCACGTACAAGCAGCAGATCTAGATGGCACCACCTCTGCCCCCATGTCACTACCAACAGACCCACTCCACAGGAACATGACACAAATCCCAGTCAAAAATGTGCTTTGAAAGCAGCACGCTCAGCAAGAACCTCATCCCCTATCATCAATCAAAAAAGGGCATAACCAAGACACTCTTTCCAAGTGAAAGTGGTCCCATACAACCAGCAGTCGTCATAAAGAAAAGGAGTCCCACAACTAATCAGAAAGTACTAGGATTGTAGAATGAACTTCAGTCTTTCAACAAATGATCACTCACAGATAGTGGCAGCCTGTAAATGACCTTCAGTTTTTCAACTTCTCACCCACAGTTAGTAGCAGCCAGTAAAGGAACTTCATGTTTTCACAACTTCAGGTTTTCAACCTTCAGAGAAGCATTTTAATTGTATAGGTGATTTTCACAGTGCAAGGTCATTAATTCTGCAAAGATAGCAGAATCTATTTCCTATGAGCTCTTCAGGCTCAAAGGTTGAAGGGTAGGAGACTGCAATAGCAGCAGCTCAGACTAATGAATCTGAATAAGAACACCATAAGAATGAAATGTCTTCATAACCTGCCAGATTGACCAAAATGTTGCCTGCAACATCATTTGTGATTGAGGTCTATAGAATAGCAAAGCTAGCTAGCTATCCACCATTTAAATACCCTGCACGAGCTCCCAGGTTATTTTCAGTAAGAAAGATGAAAAGAATCAGAAATATAATTATATGACCGTATCCTAAATATCTGAGACGAGAATAAGAAATACGGACTGAGATACGGAAAAAGAGAGGAAGAGCAGTAAGATGCTAGAGCAAAGCTAGAAACCAAAAGAACAATGTAAGATGAGGAAATTGTTCCTTAAAATAAGTACTACAGATAGATATGGCTGGACTGAGAAAGGTATGTACCAAAACCCTCACCTGTACTTGTAATCTGTCCTCATTCCAAGCCCTCACATCATCTTATGTCGTGTCAAAGGTAAGAAATGTCAATGAAAATGACATTTGATCATCAGGCCCAATATTAAGCTCAAGTCAACTCCAACAAAGCCCTAATTTGAACTATTTAGCTCAGGAAACCCATTCTTATGACTCTAGGGCAATATCCTTCATCTGACAACAATAAGCCACCAGCCTCCCTAGCCTGCACAGCAAAAACCATCTAAACCTAGATGCTCTGGAAGGTAATATTGAAAAATGCTAGTAAATATAATCTAGGGACTCGATGCCTAATAGATTACAAAGTGGGCGCTGGGCAGGAAGATTGGAGATAGATATTTGTTAATATAGAGCCACTGTCACTTGGCTTCAGATAAATATTTGCATACATCATTTAAGTTAGTTCTATCCAATTCCTTCAAGTTCATACCCTGATGCATACAGTCCCATACCATAATCAATTAATGAGGCAACAAATGCTAAACAGGATGACAGAACAAGAAAAAAAGATCATTTATAAAAGAGAGTCAACAATGCAAATATTGTTCAAATTACAAAGTTTGTGGGATAAAGACAAATGCTTTCCTAGTTCCGAACTAGTCCAATGAAAGTAACTTGGCATGGTGTCCTACAAAAACAAAATACAATATAAACAAATATAGACGGTTCAGCGCTAAGATGTATCATTAAGTTGAACAAGGGACTGATAGACTGTTGTTTCTTACTTCATATTTAAGTGTTCAAAAATGTAAGAAAAACAGCGGTTAGAATAAAAGGGAAGGAAAATTTTGAAGAATAACATTGAAATATCATAATATGCAGCATCATATCCCCCTGGGATCCAAAGAGAGCTATGCCCCAATAAGAGAACTTTTGACAGCTAAAAGCTGCACCACACAGGTACATGCTCCACCTAGATTCTTTTAACAGTAGATCTTAAAGCTAACAATTTGAGAGCTTACGTAGGAAAAGGACATGCTTACGTGAACCGAAGAGCCTCTCTCAAGCGGTCAGCAACAAAGAAAAAGTATTATGTCTTCGAGTCCTTGCAGGGTCGTTAACTTTGTGGCCATATGGTAAAATATGCAAATAAAGCCTGCTTCATTTGCATTGGACAAAGTTTGCATTAAAAGTACTACCACTAATGGTATATACAAATCTTGGTTTTTAAGAACCACCGTAATACTATATGCACCAATAACTCCACAATCTCAAGGCTCTGATTTTCTCATACAAGTACCAAGATCAACAAGATTGTCCAGAAGGATCCTTGCAAAATGCAATACCAACTATGAAAATACCAATCTAAAGGAACTACAAATGCATTCGCCATGAACAGCATTGCTAATGGAAGAATGGCGTAAAACTGATTCTAGGCACCATTTTGGATTTGACTTGAAATTGGTGGACTCAAATTGTAATTTCTTATCCAAATAAGTTGCATCACTATGAGATTCAAATCTTAGTTCATTTGAAAAGTTTCACACTAAGACGTATACGGCATGTATCAATAACATATCATCTTTGCTTGGTCTCTAGACCACTGAGGTGAATTTAACTCCCGCGGAGTTATGAGTATACCGCCACCCCTTATTTGAGAAAAGGCGTTTCATGCTGATCCTTTTAAAATGACAGACACGCCATCAAATTTGGGGAAAATGGTCTTAAACCTGCACGATATAAATAACTCAAAATTGTACTCCCCCCATTTCATTTTATGTTGCTTGTTTGACTTACCATGCAATTTAAGAAAGAAAGGAAGACTTCTCGAACTTGTCATCTTAAACACGTCGTGACATTTCTTGTGACTATAAAAGTATGTTAGTAAGGGAAAAGATAATTTTTTCCCAAAAAGGTTTCATTCTTTTTTTTTTAAATAATCGTGGCGTCCCAGCCAGCATGCACATACCTCGACTAATTCCACAGGATTGCTACCTCCGGCCAACAACAAGTACCAGATAACTTTGTCCACCAAGGTTTGGACAGATGAGAAGAAAACACCTCATGTTTTCGCCTCCGCTGAGATTTGAACCTGAGACCTCATGGTTCTCAACCCACTTCATTGACTAATCGACCACTAGGCCAAACCCTTGGGTAATCATTCTTTTTAAAAAAATAAAAATAAAAAGGAAAGAGTGCCAAATAAAATAGAATAAAGGAATATTAGATTATAATTACTCTAACCATGATTGGCTAACGTGTCAATGTTTCACCTCACTGTGGTTTATTTTCTCCACTTAATTTACATGCAGTATGCTAGCGTAATTAATTATCAATCTCAAGTTGACAAACCACTCGAGCACATTAGAGAATCTCTAGTGCTAAATAATCCTTAAGTACATAGTATTGAAATATTATGGACCCAATGAAGCACTTATAATAATGAGGATTCATATAGCCGAACCCAACTAGCTTGGGATTGAGGCATAGTAGTAGTTTTGTAGTTGTTGATGTTGTAAGCTAGCGTAATTATCAATACCTCTTGCCATGAGTTATCAAGTTATGACTTAACGCTCAGGATCAATTTCTCTTCAAAAATGTAATCTTAGTAAATCAGTGCACCACTTATAATTTGTATCTCATTCCACTTGAAGGACATATAAGGTAATAGAACTGAGAATTGCCTGCTATCCATAAAGGAGAAAATGTATATATATTTCAGTTGCCTTCCAATCATACGAAACAAAGCTAAGCCATGAATACTTCACATAAGTGAAATAAACCAACCAATTTCTCTCTTTTACCCTCCCTCTCTCCCTCCCTCTCTTTTTGATAAATAATCGATGCTTTAGGAACTCCTATATGCAACACATACTCTCCTGGACATCAAGATTTTCACATTAAAAATTTACAGTTAATGTAGAAGATTACCAAATTGGGATGTTCAATTTTGTTCCTTTTTTAAACATTTATGCACTATGCGCGATGAATAACTACAAAAATTACTTGTTTCAATGATGGCGGTATTTGGGTCAACTTGGGCGCAGCTCGACTAGTTCCATTTAATACATGCTGCCTCCAATCAACACAGATAGCGGGTAACTTTGTACACCGAGGTTTAGGCAAATGTAAGGCTAGCGCTAGCCTACTAAATACGGGTTCGCCGGAATCCTCTGACTTTTACTTAACTGGATTTGTATTAAGAAATTTGTTAAATATGTATAAATATTCAATTACGAACCCACTAGCTAAGACGAGTTACGGGTTCTGTGGCAACTTCAGAACCACCCACAAACTTTAAATTTTAGTTCCGCCTCTAGGTGATGGAAAGACATCACCTTGCTTTTTGCCTCCGCTAGGATTTGAACTTGGAATAACTACAACAATTATATTCTCCTTAATTAATCCATGAGTAAATAGTCCACAGATTCAAATTTTTTTGTTGATTATATCAAGTCTCCAGTATTTACTTAAAAACACAAAAAACTAGGCACTTGAATAATTTACAATCAAAAATAATTTAAGTTTCATTTAGAAATCTTTTTAAGGTTCTTAGATACAATAAGTTGAAATAAGCAGAAAACAATTAATTCATGCAAAATATGTAAAATAAAAAATAAATCACATACTAAACGATCGGGTGGGAAAATAACAATCAGCTCAGAAAAAACGAAATACTATATATTCCCCCACAAAGTGATAAATGATTGATTACAAATATTAAGGATAAATAATTGTTTTTTTTTTAAGTTAGAGAATCTACCGAGCAAAAGCGAAAAAACAACCGCAAAAGAGGATGAATTTTGATTTTAAAAACAAACGATCGGGCGAGAAAAATCAACTTTAAACCCGATAACTTTTCCCCAACAAAAACCGAGCAAAAAATATGTACAATAAATAAAGGAACAGAACAATCAAACAGGAATACGAACTTGATAGATATTAAACATGGAATAAAATGATGATCGATGAATTACCTGGAAAATTTGCGGGGGAAGAAAACGATTGCTTTTGCTTCTGGATGATCGGTTAATTGTGTTTGATCAGAATAATTAATTTATTACAATTTGATATATTTTGATATATGGAGATAAAAGAAAAGACACACACGTAAAGAGAGAGAGAGAGAGGGGGAGCAATTATATGCGCACAAGGCAATGAATTACATAGCGGTTGGATTATTTTATAGTATTGCTAGTGACTCTTAATTTTTTTTCCTTTTCCTTTCCCTTTCAATATACAACAACAACATACCAATTCTATTTTCACAAGTAATTTGAGAAGCATAATATATAGAGAATTTTTCATAAAGCACCATCTTTTAGCCCTAATTAGTCATTTATAGATACTCTTTGCTATATTACTTGTTATAGATACCTTTTATGTTTTTATACAATGTATTTCATGTATTTAAGCAGTTGTATTCATTAATACAACCAAAAAAATAGGCGTAAAAACGGGAACTCCAGCTAATGGGTATCTATATTTATCTATATTCAAGCTGAATACAAATAAAATACAGTAACATTTTTGCGCAAATTCTGGAAAGTTAAACTTGTTAAAAACGGAAGGAAATAAATTCACATGATAGTCTCCTAATTTAACTCAAAGAAATAATACAAGTACACATTAATCTGCTCAAAGAAAGCAGAATAATCTTCTCCTTTTTTTCGTGAAAAGAAGCAAAAAATAAAGCAAACACTTACAGAATTGCATATTTCATAGCAAATCAGTTTTGAATACATATCAATACAACTACAAACACTTACAGAAGACTAAATACAGTAACAAGGCTAAATACATATTAAAAACTAGATACCACACACATGACATAAAAAATAAGTAAGTTGAATACATATGAATACATTTGAAAACTTACTGGAAAATTGAACAGTTGCAAACAAAAATACAGTCGAATACATTGCATATGTCACAATGTAAAAGAGAGAGAGAACATGTTTAGGAGTTATACAGTAATTAGGTGAGAGAAAATACAAAAAAGGAGAGAGAAAAATATTTTTTAGCATATATGGTGTCTTAATTGTAGGATGGAACTATATTTAGATTTTATGCTATAAAGAATAAAAGGTATTTATAGGATATAATATTTTAAAATGGTATTTATTTAATATAAATATGGTACTAATGTATTCTATAGGTTGTAAAATTTCCTAATATATACACAATTTTACCCCTAAATAGAGCAAGTAGAAAGAATATTTTCGATAAATCCTCGACTCAACAGTAAAAAAGAAAGAAAATAAACATGATAGTAAAAAAGCTATGAAAAGAAATAATAACGACAGCAAAATAGCAATAAAATTTATGCAGAAGCAATATCGGATAGTAATAGAAATTTAATAATAAGATAAACGAGAATAATACTAAAACTACTATTATGAAAATAAAGTGTGTTGTACACCATGTTAATCTTTTACCCTAATTCTCGACATCCACGACCTCCTATCAATGGTCATGTCCTCGGTAAGCTGAAAATATGTTATGTCCTGCCTAATCACCTTTCGCTAATACTTCTTTTGTCTTCCTCTATCTCTTTTTAGACCCAACATATTCAATCTCTCACACTTTCTCACTGGGGCGTCTATGCATCTCCTCCCCATGTGCCCGAATCATCCCAACCTCACTTCCTTCATCTTATCCTTCGTGTGGGACACCCTCAACCTTGTTCCGAATATTTCATTCCTGACCCTATCACTTTTAGTTAAAGGCGGAGTTAAGATGTTAAGTTTATGAATTATGCACCACAATTCTTTTTATCTACT